CTTTTTACACCCGGAACAAGAAGATGGAAACTTCGCTATGTGACATTATCCTGAAACTTTTAATATTTCTTCTCTTTATTTCGCGAAGATTAAGTTTATACTGTACTCTCGCTAGACGAAAGTATACGTAAAACTAAAACAACTTCAACGACAACTCGACAATGCTTTACTTCGAAATGTTCGCTTAATTTCCAACTTCCAATTCAGCACGAGAATTAAAATTCTCTTGCACAAAAGTGTCTAGTAAATTCTTTATGATAAAAACGGAAAAGAGAGAGCACGAAGGAAGAAACTTCCTTCGGTCGCATCAATTCTCGCTTCTTATATTTCATCGCTCTCGGTTCGACGATTCCAACGTGCTAATCGATATTTACGCCCTTTTTAACCCAAGGAGTAATTAATTATAACTTTCGAAACGGTGAACCATTTTTTACAATGACTACGTATAAATACCTATCAATACCCACATAAATCATAAGAAACTGCGAACTAATGTAAATCAACATGTAACAATATTATATTGTGCACATTAATTTATGTAAGATATTTTCTAATAATATTCCCTTATAATATTACACGGAAAAAAACGGTTTTGCTAAACGTGTATAAAAAATGTCGAAAAATTTAGTTAGAGACTAAAGAATTATTTATATCAAAATAATTAATGTAGAACACAACTAAACAACTGATTACTAAAAAATATCACAAATATTTGCGCAGTATTGCTCATCATGTTTGTGTATGTGTGTTTATGTTTCCATACATATTCATAATTACTTTCATAATTTAACAAAATTATTTTCAGATTATTTGTATCCCGCTAAATTTTTATAAATATTTCAGCAAAATCCGTACCACAAAAATAGTCACAATTTCGTCGAGATTATCTACTTCTGCTATTATTTTTATTCTGAACTTCAATCGGATAAAAAGTTTTCATACGACACTACTTTTCCACATTCTTACGCGACTTTGCATTTTTGGAAAACTATGCTCACGGTTATCCTGTTTGAGGAAAAATCTCCGACTTTTCGCGTATTTCAACATGCGCGATGCTCACATGTTACTGTCAAGTTTAAGGTCAAGCAAAAAACGCTATTTTCCGGCAGTGGCTCAACGACGGACGTAAGAGGATTAAGCTAGTTTTCTTCCCGCCGGATTTGGTGCGTTGCACCAGCTACAGCTGCTGCTGCTGCTGTTGGCCACTTTCTGCTTGTTTCGTTTCCTTCTATGACGCACGATGATTAAGGCAATTAATGTGGATTTTCATCCACCTGTCTGCTATTGGCTTCATATTTGGCGATCACTTATTTTAACATTGTTCGATCGTTCTTCAAATAGGGTTTCTTCCGCAATCATCGTATAATATTTTAAAAGCATTAACATAATATTATAATAAAGTGTAAAAATCCTACAAAACTGTCAAAATCATACAACGATAATACATAGTAATATATAATATACATACATAATTTTCAAACTATAAACAAAATTGGTCAATGTTACTCGATCTTTGATATAATTAATTATCCAAATTGTACTTGCATTGTTTCCACATTGCTCAAATTATATTTGTGCCAAAAATTAACAACAATATTTCGAACAAAGGTTTTAATTATAAATAATAATCAAACAAGGAGCCTATATAGATCTATCGCTAGATGTTTTGCGAAAATGATTCTATATTAACTACACAATACAGATATATAAAACGTTTTTCGATCGTTTCGAAACGTTTTCATTATCGGGTCATCCTGTATACCAAAAATTAATATTTGAAAAGTAATTAAAACGCATAAAACGATCAAAACGATTAATAAGAAAACGTAAGATAATAAATTATTCACCTGCTGGTCCGTCGTTACTCGATACCTCTCGCAAATTGTCGGATCTCCTACTTCCTCTCAGATTTCTTCACTGCACATACACACATACACACACACACACATACACATACACACACACATATACACACACAAAGAACACAATAGCGCAATTCTTTTCACTCCCGACGAACCGTATACGACGAAAACTTCGAAAGCGATGCGTCATGCTTTCAAATTTGAATGAAGAAAAGAAGTTATCAAGGAAAATATGCATCGCCCGTAAAAAATCGATAATTTTTGATTTTCTCCATCATGCCGATGGCGAACAAAATAAGTATCCAGATAAGTAACGATCGTTTCGTTTACAAGTTGTTAGTCGTAATGGTAATTATTTAGAATACCCTTCCCTCTCCCCCCCCTCCCCCCATCACAAATCTTAATAAAAATACACTTATTCGACGTGTTTTCACTCAAAACGAAAGAATCTGGCAAAACGTCGTAATAGTTAAATGCGTCGTAATAGTTGAACGCGTGAGCCGGTTGCTAATTTTAATAATCGTCACGAATGATCGCATTTCGATAGAACAATCATTAATGTAACACGGAGCGGCTCGTATCGCTGCTCGCCCGATCGAGTCTCACTCTGCGAATGATACCGCAATGCATGACCTTGCGTAAACACAACACCACGCGCCGTACGTTGTGCGCCAGCCAACTCGTCGCCATTACAAGATACGTATTTGCTATTATAAAATATTTAACGTCGTTCTACTCCGTATATTTCCGATTAATTATGATGTATCGGCTATTACCGCACAGCCTGCGATAAGCTTTTTGCAAGATTTCGTTCTAGACGGCAAGTTCGTTTATTATCACGCTCTTCATCTTCGAAGACAGTAATGCCCGTTTCTATCAGTATAGATATTAATTTTAATTTCGTTTCTCACCTTTACCTTTCACTCTTTTCTAATTTTTAGAACTAGAAAAAGATGGAGAGTTAGTTAAATCAAGATTAAAATTAAACTACATTGGTAGAAACGAACATAAGTGAATTGCATTAAACGGTATCTGTATTCTATAATTTTTCTGTAACAAAAGTGCCGTTATGTAAAGCTGCACAATAATAACAACGAATCGTTGTTAAGAATTACAAAGATTATAGACACTGAGATTTGTTCGGATTTATTTGACTTAGAATGTAATTTATTTTCTTACTAATATATTATTTAAAAACTTTTTTCTCCGATATTTGATAACTTCGCTTGTTAATGTAAGAATTTTTTCCTAAAAATTTTTCAATTTTCATTTTTTTACAGCTTTTATTCATATTAATCCAAATAATACGATTATATAATAAATTTTAACAGACCGAAACAGTAAAACAATAAAAAATCAAAATCGCGATAGTATAAATCTGAATGCACGGAAAATATATGTAAAATATATACCAAAATTCAAGTATCGTTAAAGAAATACGTTATTATTATTGTATTTATATTAATTGCCTAAAATATTTAAAAATCCCCCCCCATATATAAAATATATATAAATAAAATATATCAAGTTTTCAAACGATATGAAAATACATGACATATAAAATTATAATTTATTCTTACATAAAATTATAATTTATTATTATATATTATTAAAATTAAAATTCTATCTTGAAATCTGATGCGAATTATAATTATGAATCCCCTAAAACGGACTTTGAAATAATTCGTGTATAATATTTTTTCCTATTATCATATTCATTAATATCCTATTAATATATTCTTATTAATATCGATCAAAATCCGTATGTAATATTTAGACATAAAAAAATTGAAAAACAAATCAACGAGACAGTAAAAATTAATATTAAATGACACATCAATATGCGAGTAGAAGTAATTGTAGATTTAAATAACTTTGGTATAACATTGATCAAATTTGATCTTATAATTCGAAAATTATTGCAATTTCAATAATTTGTGGTGATAAAATATTATATTTTTTTATAAAAAAGATTTAAACTTGAAATCACACAATTGTAAATTAACAGATTAAATATTTAATTCTTATTCTTTTAGACCAAAACAGACAGTAGGACAATGTAGCATGTGATTATTTTAAAGGATAAAAAATACATTTATGAGGCTCTATATACATATATATGGATAACTCTTATGATAAATCAGATAATTTTTTTTACTGTTCTAGTACATATTTCTGATTGGAAAAATAGCCTTTCATTCAGTTGATACTTTTAACAATACAAATATCTCCGACGTTATTTAAATGTACGTTATTATATTATATTTGCATAGTAAAAAATTTCACATACTCACAGTTTTTAAATTATTGAGAGAACAAAAAATAAAGGTCCTCTTTGTCTAACTAACGCTAATCGCTAGAAATTAATAAGATAATATAAATAATACGAGAATACTCTGAACAGTTATTATACAACATATTTTTATTATCTATCTATATAAGAATATCTATTCTGCGTATACGTTAAATCTCAGACTTTAACCTGACAGCACGTTTGCGATCTAATTGAATATTTATAAGATACGTATTCTATCGATCTTTTTATACGTGTTCAATCTTATGGTCCACCGTATTATGTAGGCCGATCTTTCTTACTTTACTTCAAGTAAAGAGGATAGGATCAGATTAAAGTTTTTGCGGGACGGTCCACGGAAAAATCGATATACCAACTCTGTAACGAGAAAGCGTTCTCTAAACTCATCTCAGGATCAAGCCGGATTAAATGCGCAAAGGATTAAAAATTACTCAAGCATTGGATTACGTCAACGCCGAAAGGAAATTATTTTACATCATCCACGTTATCTCTTTAAAGTCGTTTACGCATAAAACGCTGTACATATTAAACAGAATATTAAATTATATGGATTTCTACAGAGTTTTACAAAGTCTTAAATTTTGAGATTAAATAAATATATCTTGTCTATGATAAATTAAAGATTTAATTAAATATTGTACTTTCGAGAAATTTTTTATATTTGTAGCGATATTGATAATCGATTTAATTATCATGCTAAATAATATATATTCATTAATAATTTCCAAAGTGTATTATATTTAATATGTTAAAATGCACTTTCAGTGTACTGTAATAATAGTATTAATTCCAAAATAGCGATTAATAAAATTTTAGCTACTTACAATATGTGCTATTCGATGTGGCGTTTTGGCGCGATAGTTGGACCTGCAAAAAAGAACAAGAATTTTAATAAGACTCCTTATATGCGTACATATTAGAAATAAAGTAGAATAGAGTTAACAAAAACTACTCTTTGCTCATTTTTTTCAAATTTCCCTTCGTGAATATCAAATCTAATTATTTTACTTGAAGTAAAAAAAAGATACGTATATTGTATTTCTTTCGCGCAACGCAGTCGCAATACACGATACGAGAAGAAACGCCAAATTTGCTTCAAATTCACTTCAGAATATTGTATTACGCATTCTTGAATCCTGAGATTCAACTTTAATCTGCATAACTGAGCCACCCGACTTCATACCAGCTTCCAAAATAGTGGCACCGCACGAGCTGCTCGAGAATTCAGATTAGATTCAGAGGACGCGCGAGCAGGCCTTGCTCATAACTCTATCGAGCGTGCATATTAGCATCGAAAAGAGGAGGATACCTCGCACGTCTTTTTATTCTATTTTCTAGGCGATCGATCGATTGACCAGAAGGTCGAAGAATCTCTCTCTCTCCGCGTCATTCGTGCGCGGCATCCAATAAGGCACCGAAAGCCCGACAATAGTCGAGAGATTTCACAAGGTATAAATCTGCAAGAATGGCTCTGGCATGGAAATCGCGGACGTCCGGATCGACGTCTACAATCGTCGAATAAGAATTTCCTACGTCCTTCCTTGCTATCCTATTCGATCCCACGTATTTATTGTGTCATCGCGAACGCGAAACCGCGTTTCGCGCAAGAGGGAGAAACGGTATAATTGAAGGGCCGCTGCTGCCCGAACGTGCTGCACGAGAATGCGGTTTTCGCAGCTGCAGCTGCACGAATCGAAGCGAAACATAGTTAGCGGCACGTCGTACGTGCCACGCGATTTCTCGCGAGACCGTTGGGTCGCGTTCGCGCGAATTAATTACCGCGACCCGGATATAACTCGGCAAAAATAACCGCCTTCCATCCGACGGTTATTTTCGCCGATGGAAAATGTTGCGGCTTGTCTGCTTGTGTGTGCGTACGCGTCAGAAATCACGATTATTATTTCCTGAAATGCTCGCCGCATCTCTCGTCGATCGTTTGCCGTGGTAAGTAAATGCCGTACTTCTCTGCGCGGCGCCGCGCCGAAATATCGGCGCGTTTTCGCTCTCACCTCTCGTGTTGTTTACGCGAGCTTATGTAACGTAATTACATTCCGCATGATGCATTCTGTACGGAAGAACGAATATTTTATATGTTACGCTAGTTCTACGAACTTTTCAATAACTACTCATCTGAAACATTTTTCCGATGGCAATAAAATACCGTCTTATATTATAGGAGAAATAAAAAAAGAATTTTTTTGTTAGGGAAAATGTGATATAGATATTATTAAAAATTAGGTCGCTGTGTTCGTTATACACTGTGAAATTCATAATGTTAAATTATATCTATTATAATTTGAATTATTTTTAATCACTTTTATAGGCCACTCTGCTCCTACCTATACCTAATAGATTGTCAATTTAACTAAAATAATGAAATTAAACGGTTTAAATCAAGAAAATGTATTAAATTTCTGCAGAGATGAACCGATTTATATTTTAATGTATATGGAAGTTATAAAAATAACATAATGTAAATCGATCCAATTATATAATTAGTTCTAAAGTAAATAATGTTTATATTAACACACTTAGTAAATAATACATTTAATTTGAATCCAATTTAATACACTTTCTTGATTTAAATCGTTTAATTTCACTGTTTTAGTTAAATTAACGACGTATCGGGTAGGAGCAGTAACTACCTACAGAAATGATTAAAAATAAATTAGATGTTAACTTGATAATATAAAATATAACAATAAAATACAGATCTGAAAATAATTTCGTTAAACCATCAAAATAATTATATCATACGTCCAAACTGATTGCTAGAATGTCAAAATTTTTTGCAGCCTTACCCATCGTGCTTGAGATTCCTACAAAATTATTTTCAAGTCTATATAAATTTTTAGATGCTTCAACAAAATCCTTTCCTTCCTTTCGCATATCGTCATACCTATGTAGATCGCGCATGATTTTAGTATTTGTGCTCCGTTAGAAAGAATCGAACATATCAGCACCTCTCTTCAACTCGATACTTTAAAGAAAAAGAGTAATATGATTCGAACTACCTCACTCCTTCTAAACCGATAGTGACAACTTCGGAAAAATGCGCAGTCTATTCTACAAAACACATAATTTGACAATAGATTTGTTCGCGTTGCTTGTATAACTTTTTCCCATTCAAGATCTTCAAAATTTTTCTCTTTTCAACCTGAATAAATATTTGTCTCAAGTGCATAGTATATATTTACAAAATATATATTTATTTCGAGTGCAAAAATTTTTAGAAATTTCAAACAACGCGGACAAATCTCGTCCACACTATCACCGTTCTTCCTTTTTTACAATTTCTGATTTCTTTACACTTTCGATTGCGGAGCTTGCGCGAATTCCGTGATTGGATCTAAGTCAATAGACGAAAGAACTGCAAACGGGGGGGGGGGGGGGGGGGGGG